GACGTCAACATGTTGATCTGGCGTGGTAGAAACTGGCACTTGAGGTTCGACAGGTTGCTCGATCGCTTCGAGCAGCTCCGATATCTCTTCCTTTGATTCTTGCATCACATTATCTGCTATTGGCTCTTCGTGTTGAGGTTCGTAAATGACCTCCGGCTCTACCTTCGCTTGCATCGAGTCACGCTCTACCGCATCGAGATCAACTGGTTGTTCAAGCGCAGCGTGTTCCGTAGGCGCAGGACGCACAAGTTCATGGTCCTCGTCATTCTCACTCTCTGCTGGCAAGTTTGGGTTACGCGTCACACTGTTAATTTTGATCTTCGGGCCTCGTTTGGCTAACAAAACACAATACACCTTGAATAACTACTTAAGAATTAAAAAAATCGACGTGTAACATACCTTTCGTGGGTGTCAGCTTCACGCACGGCTCATCGGCTTCCGGTATCTCTTCATCACCCACCGCTCCATACCCTTCAAGACACTTCCCACAAATATTGGCCTTACGCGAGCACTTAACAGCAGTAAAAAGTTAGCTTTGACCAGGAATAATTGCAAAAAAAAACAGCAGAAGCACTTACAGCTTCACGTCCGCGTTGCTCACACGATGGCGTCACCTTGCACTCCACTGCTTCCGGTAGAACATCAGCCGGCAGACCGTGCGTTCGAGCTGTCACAGCCTGTTTCGTCCATGATCCAAAGACTCCAAAGCTCTCAAATGTCTCCGAACGGAAGTAAAGATCATACGAAGTGCCTTCCGTGAGTCCATCGATCACAAAGCTTGTCTCCTGTCTCCCTGCGGTCTCATTAACGTCGATGCTGCCACTTGCACGTACACTCAGCTCGGTTGATTGATCGTTCGACGGAGGCTCCGAGCCACGTCCAGTAGGTACAGCGACGTAGTGCACGTGGCCATGCTCACTTAGCGTAACATTCACTGTAAGCGCATCCACACGAGCGTCGGTCGGGTTAACCGTCACATTAACCAGCTCTGGGGCCTCTGAATGAGCTCGAACGCCAGCGTGAGTGGCCACAGTACCGTAAATGCCTCCACTGTCCTTCGTCTCCGTAACGAGATGAACCGTATAGTTAACTCCAGTCTGAGGCACTTGCAGGATCATTTCTCGCCACCCGCTGTCGCTTTCGAGCTCCATACTCGCTCCATCGACTTCCAGGCTCTTCTGCGCTACAAGTCGGTCTTGCAGCGCCAAGCGGTTGCCGAACCGGTCACTTCCTTTAGCAACATGATGCGTGAGACTCCAGGGTTCCACTGCAACAGCGGAGAAGTACACAAGGCCCGGTGCGTCCATGCGAAAGCCCACAGTTAGCGATTCCGTGGTCCCCGGTGTCGGATACGCCGCGTGCGCCAACAGAATCGGCGCGTTGCCGAATGTCGAGACGTCCTTCACCTCGTGGATGACGCCGTAGACGCCGTGATCTGCCGGTAAAGCCTCCGACACAATGAATAGACTGTAGCTTGTACCGGGCAGCAAATAGTCCAC